CCATAAAAACTGGCTGGGTGACTCACTCTCCGCCCACCTCTCAGGTGGTCACAGGGTTGCTATTGTGAGGAAAATAGGAGCAGAAAGGTGTATTAGGTATGTTTGTTACCTTGAGTTATTTATAAAAATAATAAAGGCAGGAGACAGACAGATAGGCAGACCAACCTTCTTCTTTCACTGAAGCAATTTGTATTCAATTAGGGAGCTCACCAAAATTGGAATTTCATCCATAGTGCTCTCTTTTGTTCAAAGAAGACTCCGGAAGGAACCATGTGATGGGCACACCTAATTCCCAGTGCCCATTTTCATTTTTTAAAAAAGTCCTTTGTTGAAAAAGGTTCTCAAATGCAATAGTGGTATGGCCTATATACGGTAGTATAGAACAGGAATCTCAGATTCTCCAAGTCATTTTCTGCACCCCACAACCATTCATTGTAGGGGCTGAAAACACTGCCAAACAAAGCCAACACAATATGTGCCATGTAAACAGGCATAGTGAGGGCTCCAGGAATGAAACAGGATGGCAACGTGAGACTAACAATATATTTTAGCCCAATGTGACTAGTCTTCCTGCAGCAGTGAGATCCGGGCAGTTGGTCAAGGCAATTGGGTCCACTCTTCTGTTTTATAGTACAGTAGTGGCCAAAATTGTGGAAACCTTTTGGGAAAAGTGTACAGTAGAAATGCCACCTTTGGTTAAGTTTCCACCAATTTTTCTTCTAATTTCTTTATAATTGTAGCCTTGTTCGCTTAATAATACTATTTTACATCGCTTTCTGGGCAACCATTCAACTCTTTGCATCATTACTTCAATTTTATTACATTTTACAAGCTCACTAAATGAAAGAACACAAAAAAACCCAACCAACTTGATAGCGATCACATAACACACTGACAAATTTCCTTTCAGCTTCAGTACATGACATCAATAACTGAATCCTACTGTGATCTGATTGGCTCATTGTCAAAACAAGATGACATCTGATTGGCTCCCTAATTGGCTCTCTCATGCTCATTGGCTACAATCAGATGAAGGAAAGCTACCTGATATCAACCTAAGCAAGTTGTGCTTCCTTTTTCTGGTTATTTGGCGATAACTTTTCATAGAATACAGTATAGATAATTGAACAAGCTTTGTTGCATTACATTCTTGATTAAATTATCTTTCCATTGATATATAGTTTTAGGGCACTACTCCCAAAAAAAGTGGTGTTATTAGCCATCAAACCTCAAAAATACACTTTTCCCAAAAGGTTTCCACAATTTTGGCCACTATTGTACATGCTACCACATTACAAAAAAGATGTTGAAACTTTGGGAAAAGTGCAAAGAAGAGCAACTAAGGTGATTAAAGGCCTGGAGACTAAAACATAAGAAGAACGATTGCAGGATTTGGGGATGGCTAGTCTAGAGAAAGAAGGACTAGGGGGGAACATGATAGCAGTATTCTAGTATTTAAGGGGCTGCCACAAAGAAGAGAGGGTCAACTTATGTTCCAAAGTACCAGAAGGCAAGACAAGAAACAATGGATGGAAACGAATCAAGGAGAGAAGCGACCTGGAATTAAGAAGAAACTTCCTAACAGGGAGATCAATTAAATAGCTGAACAGCTTTGCCTTCAGAAGTTGTAGATGCTTCATCACTGGAGTTTTTTAAGAAGAGACTGGACAGTCACTTGTCTGAAATGGTATAGGGTCTGCGGTTTGAGCAGGGGGTTGGACTAGAAGACCTCCAAGGTCCCTTCCAGCTCTATTCTGATTTGATTTTAAATGGTACCCGGAACTCCAGGCATAGGCAGCAGGCCAAGAAAGAAAGCCAGCAGACTGGGCTTCCCCAAGAAAGGGAAAGGAGAGGTCATCAAAGAGGTGGAGTGTGGGCTGATTGCCAGCTAAGAGACAGGAATGACAGTGCGTGGCCGTTCAAGTTCTCCTTGCTGAGCAGAGGTGGGAAGGAATCTACTGGGCAAGGAGAAAGAAGAGAAAGAAGCAAATGAGAAGAACAGATATCTTTGCTCAGCAAGGAAAGGAGAGGTTAAAAAAAAAAAATTTGGATCACTGTTAAGAGGGATGGGTTTCCTGGATTGTATCATCCTAAATCCCATCTTGTTCCATCTTGATAAAATATACATTATCAACACAATAATAAAACCAAATATTGATGTTCTGGTTAATGCAAAATGCTACGAGCTACGTGACCAAATTCAAGCAGCAGTTTTGCAATTCTGTTTTTGAAATATTTCTGTTTCCTAGTAACTTTTCTCAGTGAAATAAACTGGTGTGTGATTGCATTCCATAATACTCTTTCTTCATTTTTCGCTCATTGGAGACTTTAGTATCAATATGTAAAAAGGCTTCGGCTTTGCAGCCCTGTGGCTAATGAATGCTTTCTTATATGACATGGGCTTGAGTGTGAAACCTATAATGTAGAGTAGACTATAGCTGTTAATCCTTAGTCAAGAATGGTGCTCTCGTTTCGAAACATTCCACATTTTTTCTTCATAACTAAAGTTATGATCAGAGTGGGGTACCAGTACTTTTTTCTCTCTTAATTCTATTATTCATCTCAAGTTGTGCTTTTAATAAAATACTTAGCATCATGTGATTTACAAAAGCTGCCTCCAAAAGCAGTGAATGCTCCAACACTGGAAGTTTTTAAGAGACTGGACAGCCATTTGTCTGAAATGGTATAGGGTTTCCTGCCTGAGCAGGGGGTTGGATTAGATGACCTCCAAGATCCCTTCCAACTTTATTATTATTATTATTATTATTATTATTATTATTATTATTATTATTATTATCATCATCATCATCATCATCATCATCATCATTATTATTATCTGTATGAAAATAAATATGGTGTCCTCGATGTACTATAAGATTTTTTTCAAATTCTTGTTAGAACAGTAATTCATAGGATCCTTCAAAATTTAAGGAATATTACAGAGTTTTAAAAAATGGCCATGCTCAGATAATTCATGATTTCCTCAGTCACGATTTATAAAGCCAGGACATAACATCAAGGCTAAGTAAGCCTCTGGCGTCGTCTTCTTCTTCTATTATAATTTGAAGTTTTTTCTGACCTATCCCAGAAAAAGATGCAGTAACTTGATGTGTTGCACACAGATTACACAGGGTTTGTGCCTTCAAGTATCTTTTTTGGAGTGGAGCCCAGAGTTTTCCACAGCCAGATCTGTACTCTCTATATTGGGCACTAATTATTCAGACATCAGTTATCCAGAATTCTTTAGCTCAACCTATTTTATCCCATGATAAGTACTGGGATGCCATATTGGGCAGATCTGAAAATTAATTAGGGATATAATTTTTTCCTGCAAGCTAAATAGCTGCCATGAGGTATATAAACTCATGATGCTACTTAATTTTAGCCCCTACCACCTTGCGTGCAATGCTCCTTAATATCCTACTTGCCTTGTTTGTTTTCTAGACAAGGGCTAACATTTCCAAACAAAGCATATATACTGATTATAAGTTGCACTTGGAGCCCAGAGGCATTCTTGGGAATAAAGGTGATGTTTGCAATTCATCAGCTCACTAATTTCTCTATTTAGAAAAAAATAGCCAATTAGGGCAGGAAGTCTGGCAGGAGCCAAAGGAATTGTCTGTAGATACACAAACACACCTGGGGGTCAAATAGTGCCCAGGCACATTTTGCATTCCTTACCTTAACCATGGTTTTTCTACAATTCAGTAGTAGGTAGATATGCCCCAATGCTTTGCTAGAGGTTCATGCAGCTAGTCAAAAAGAAAGGAGAAGATAAGTGAGATTTACAGGAAAGTCCTGTAGGAAGAGTTGATGAGTTGCCCTTGGGTAGATCAATATATTGTAACTTGCTATAACATTCAGCAGAGCTATTTTGTGAGTTAGGACATTGTTGCTTGTAGCTCGTTTGTAAGAGGGTCCACTCCATAAATTTCACACATATTCTCTAGCTCCAAAAAACATGGACAGATGGCGTAATGTGTCAGGTAAATACGCTCAGTGGTGAAATGCAGTGTGATTTTTCTAACATTCTAATGTCACAAGTTACATTTTGTCCTGGGTTTGTGACTCTGGCTTGTTAGGACTGAAAGAAGGCAAGGTTACTTAATTGCAGATGATGCTAACAAGCCACAAATTGTCGTCCAAGTTTGTTCAGCTGCCCTTGGCAAGTGCCAAGCAAGAGCGGTCAGGCGGTGTGCATCCCTGCTTGTTCATGATAAGCTAAAATTTTAAAGAATTCTCGCTTACCTCAGTGTTCAAACATTGTAACAAATAATCCTCTTTACTGCCATCGCTTTGACTGGAAGCAAAATACAACTTCTCTTTCTAAGCTTTGGATCAGGAAAAAAAATAAGTTGTTTCTTCTGGTGGCAGTATTTGTGACTTTGAAGTATCCGTCATCTTTTTATTATGCAGATTGTTTTTAAGTTTTAAATATAAAATTCGTGTTACTTCTGCTAAACATCTACCGAGTACTTTCTGATTGAATGAATAGATGCTGAAAACTTCAAGTATTTATATTTATTATAATGTGAGTTTCCACACAGCTGAATTTTCAAGCACAGTTTACCTTTATGATTTAATTGATTAAAACGAATAGGAAAATAACTTGATTCCAGGGGGGGGGGGAAGTAAAATAGCAATGCTACTTAGAGGCAATAGATGGAATTATTTTGCAGTGGCAAAAACATTGCATATTCTTGATGGATTAAAAACTGATAACTATTTCTGAATGAACAGTCTCTGGCACTTCATAATAAATTATGTATCCTTTTACACCAGCAATCTTCTAATTGTAAATTGTGAGTCATGCCTGGCTTTGCTTCTTGCCTAATTATACAAGTAGCTTTGAGAAATGACATCCTGCTTCCTACTGGCCAGCTTTAGTGACCTTGTCATTATTACTAATGGCTAGTTGTAGCTGCTTCAAGCAAAATAAGCAGCTTCAAGTTTTTAGCTGCTAAATTGTTACTTAGCCTATTCTTTCCCTTTCACTCCAGAGCACCAAAAACTGGAGAGCAGCAGTTGATCTCTGTGGACGACTTCTGACAGCCCATGGTCAAGGCTATGGTAAAAGCGGACTACCCACCAGTCACACAACAGACTCTCTTCAGGTATGTTTCCCTGCAGGTCAGGCAAAAGTTAGGATGCAGGTTAAACATGCACACCTTAAACATGTGAGGGAATGGGCACTTGGCTCCACATTAAGGATCTACCCAGAAATGTCGAACACACACTGTATACCTCCAATTTTTCCTCCAGTTATTCCCCGATCTTTCTTAAGATTCTTTCAGATGAGTGATACATAATTCTTGCAGTTATGAATGAAAAAACAAGGTCGACATTTCTTACTTAAGCAGTTCACTTTACTTTGATGCTTAGGAAAAATAGATACTGCCTTCACTTGTTCTAACATAGAAACATAGGGGGTGACCTTCGTGAGAAAACAATTGACTTTTTGGTTAAATTTTAAGATTTATTAACAGTTAGCATATGTTTTTATTAGTGCTGCAAATTTAAAGTATTGCAAATATTTCTTTATAAGCAATTGCAACATCTAAATTAGAAATATTAAGTACCAAAATATAGAAAAGTGTTTTGCTAGTAAACCAAATGTTTGAAAGAGCCAGTAATTATCTGCATTTTGAACCTCTTATGAGAGGCAGTTAAGATGAATAATTGAAAATAGGAATAATCCATATATGTCTTCAGTTAATGTCAACATATTCATTCTGTATAATCAGATTGTGTATAGAGTACTACCCAAACATGTAAGGTAATTCATTTGCAAATGAGTTCAAAAATAAAGAAAAAAATTCAGCTCAAGAGGAAAATTTCTGGAAAAAAATGAGTTTGCTGAACTTGCATGCACACATGAAAAATAATCTTTAGATCTATTAGTATCACAGGTATTTGTTCTTCATAGCTGAAAAAAATCTGATAATACATTTTTGTAGTATAGTAATAGTTGTAAACTTTTTTTTTCTTTTGTACTTTCAAGATTTGGTTTGTAAGACTAGCGCTCCTGGTAAAACTGGGTCTGTACCAAAACGCTGAAGTGGAATTTGAACCATTTGGAAACCTAGACCAGCCTGATTTATATTATGAATATTATCCCCATGTATATCCAGGGCGCAGAGGTAAAACTGTTTAATATATTTATTCCTATTAACTGTTTCTTTGGGGTCTTGTATCATTTTTTTATCAATAGTCACTGGTTTAATAATGCAATACCTAATATAAACATTACAACATGTTACTGAAAAATATCCCAAAATCTTTGCAATAGTAATACATGCTGCTGCATCTTTTGATTAGTAGAAAATATTGCTTTTTCCAAAACGGATAGATTACACATTTCTGACAGTCGTTCCTTGAAATCTGGGAAAACATCACATTTCCAGTTTCTTTTTTAGCAATCCCACATGCTCCCTACAGCTATAATTCCTGATAAACAGTCAAATTCCAAAGCTTGGGTATACAGTTAAACATTACATTAGCACCTTTAACATTTAAATATTTTCCCATAAATGCACTTACTTTACACTCATCTGTGGGCCAGAGGTCTGAGCATTATAAATGATCACAAATATTTTATAATTGTTAAATAGCAATTCTGTGGTCAGCAATATATGAGCAGACTTTAATAAAAAGCATAGCCTATGCAGAGGCAGGTATTGACTGTAGTTAATATAAATAATATAAATATCTGGCTCTGCATAGGCTGTGCTTTTTATTGGTTCATATTGTTCTTAATTCTTCTATTGTTCAGAATTATGTCTGAGTACATAAATCATGTTTAAAGATTGGCTGCAAATTAGCATATAAAAGAAGACTTTAACTAAATTTACAAATCCTATTTTTTCTAAGTATCACATCTTCCTATTATGTGGAAGCCACTCAGAATCATTGAGAATCAGCAGCATACAAGTTCAGTGAATCATTATTATTGCTGGCCACGCATTCTTCCAGAGCCTTGAATATAAATTGAACTATGGTTCTAAAGGCACTTTAACGTAACATGGCTTGCTTAGTTATGATTTATAGTATCTTGGAAAAACACTGCCATGGATGAAAATAATAAACCAGTGAAAGAAAGAAAGAAAGAAAGAAAGAAAGAAAGAAAGAAAGAAAGAAAGAAAGAAAGAAAGAAAGAAAGCACAGTTTGTAGCAGGTCGAGGTGAAATCTATTCACTTTTGAAAGTAAATTCATTTAAGGTGCAAAGAAAAAGTTTGTGACTATCCTAGATAAGCTGTCTGCATTTCTGTGGTAACTTACTGGTACTATCTGGAGAGATGATAACTTTCAGTACCGCTACTTGTTATTTTTCTGGGCTAAGGGGATACAGCCAAATACTGTATGCCAGTTTAAGACATGACTTCCTTTCTAGGTGACCTTACTATGCCATACAAATGTGATTTTTCCTAAGTCTTGATGCAGTTGCTTAATATAGGTAGTCCTCGCTTAACAGACATTTGTTTGGCAATTGTTCAAAATTAGGACAGTGCTGAAAAAAGGGACTTATGAACAGTGCTCACGCTAACAACCAACACAGTGCCTCCTCAGTCATGTGATCGTGATTTGGATGCTTGGCAACCTGTCAGACCTTTACAGCAGTCGCAGCATCCCATGTCCTGTGGTCATCATTTGTAACCTTCCCAGATGACCTCTGACAAACAAAGTCAACGGAGAAGCCAGTAGGGAAGATCACATGTTGTTGTGGTCACATAATGTCTCATTCAGTGACTATGGTGATTCGCTTCATGACCATGGCAAAAAAAAAAGGTAATAAAATTGGGTGCACTGGTAAGGTGCCACACTTGATTGCACCTCTTAATGATGAATTCTCTGGCCCCTGTTGTGTTGTAAGTCGAGGACTATATGTAGTGAGGATGTCCTACCAAGCATGTAACTAGAGAGGTGTTAATGAATAGGTGCATTGCATTTGTAGGTCAAATGATGCTATATTGCATAGCAGTCTAGGTAAAACAATGAATATACATGTATTGAGAAAGTGTCAGGCATGGACCAGCCTTTGTGTATTTGTTCATTTGCAATTTGGAAAGTTAATTTTTTTTTTAAGTTAAGGTTTAGTTAGTAATCCATGATCAAACATACTGCAGCATCCATATTTATGGATTCCTGAACAATAGTAAATTAGCAAGCAGAATTGTAATCAAATCCAGGAGACAATATATACATCTGGTCTTTATGCAAAAGAGGGTGGCAGGTATGTTAGATCAAACAATTTATCTGTATTGTTGGACAAGAAACAACGTTTGGAAACTGAACAAAGAGAGAAGTAACCTAGAATTAAGGAGAAACCTCCTGACAGTGAGGACAATTAACCAGTGGAACAGCTTGCCCTCCATCACTGGAGATTTTTAAGGCTAGACAGTCACTTGTCCAGATGGTATAGGTCAGTGGTAGCGAACCTATGGCACGAATGCCAGAAGCAGCACTCAGAGCCCTCTCTGTGGGCATGCGCGCCATCGCCCCAGTCCTAGGCCTTCAGCTGGGTTTTATAAAATCTTTTCGCTTTAGGCCTCCACCACCATGTACAAAAAAAAAGGTTCAATCAGTCAATTTCAACTTCTCACAGAAAAAAAAAGATCTTGCAAAGTTGGAATTGATTGAACTCTTTAGCGCACCCAGTCTGCTGTTACCACCGTAGCCACACCCACCCAATGGGCCACACCCACCCAGCACCCGACGATGCATAAGTGGGTTTTGGGTTGCAGTTTGGGCACTCGGTCTCTAAAAGGTTCGCCATCACTGGTATAGGTTCTCCTGCTTAAGTGGGGGGCTGGACTAGAAGACCTCCAAGGTTCCTTCCAGCTCTATTCTATTCCATTCTATTTTATCCTCATGACCTGAGAGATGGAAAGAGTGTATTTGAAAATATGCCTTAGAAAAAGAATAGCAAAAGACCTGGTGTGATTAAGTAGCTAATTTTAATTTAAAAAACAAATATGAAGTATAAGGATACTTTAGCTACTATGCAGTAATCATCATCCTTGATAATATGCTGATGGTTGCTTAATTTTCTTTTCATTTTTTCCATATAACAAGCATAAATGTAGAAATCTTTGATTTATTTATCTCATTTTGATTCACAATAAATAAAAGAATTAGGCAATTAAAATGCACTTTGCAATCAAATATGTCAAGATGCAAATAAATAATGGTTATGAAAACGATATAAAATATATTTCATTTAATTCATGTATGCAATTTAGATCAATTCAAAATATTCATTGAATTAAATACAGTATATTTATTTTGGAACAGCATGTACATTCCAGCCTAGAATCTTATGAATATCCAGGGATTGTGTAGCTGTTGTTTAGCCTCTGTATAAGTAAACTTATTAAATATCTATCTTTTACTTCATTTTTCCCCTCTCTGATTTTTTTCTCCTTTTTATGTGCCAACTCTTAAGAGCATCTCAATTGCCCAACTATCCTATCAACTTTACTAACACACCAAATGTATTTTACCTTAGCTTCTCTTGAATCCTAATGTTCTTATATCTCCTTTCATTAACTACGATTAAGTTAGTTTTCTTTATGTTGGCTGAATAAACTTGGCTTCTTAGGAACTTGTTTTTTTAATCTACATAGTAAAGCTTCAAAGTGTGTGCAAAAGCTTGCTGATGGGAACAAATATCTAATACATGTATATAATCTACCGCGGGTAGGATGTTTAACGTGGTGGATCCATATGCGTGTGCATTTTTACTTACTCATTTCTTTGTGACAAATACCTTACGCTGCTGATGTGAAAATGAATATGTGCTGTGGAGAGTAAGGATTCACTGCCGCTCTGTACCAAATTGCAGATATGCAAGTTTGGGAAATAAGGATTTTATATTTGTTTAGCTTTGTAGCCACCATTGCTCAGCACAAGTTTCTGTTGATTGCCTGGTCTAGTTTCAGAGATGAAACTGTTTTTTTCAGTTCCATGTTAGTAGATAGTTACCGCTCAGTGGCTACTCTATTGATCACTTCAGCAAAGAGTAGAAGTTAATTATGACAGTCAGTTGATGATTTTGCCGAAGGAAAAAAGTACTAATAGCACCTGATTTCCCTGTCTCCCCCTGGTCTCTTTTTCTGTCAAGAAATTGCTATGCCAAGATTTGAAAAAGCCCCAGGATTTTAAATTTACTAAGGTATGCATTACAGTATTCTATTTGATCACTGCATGACATGTGGCCTGATCTTTTAAAATCAGGCATCTGCTAATTCTCCCCATAAAAACCTTATGTAAGGGCAAGGGGCAAGATGGCGAGGTCTATATCTTTACCCTTGTTTGAAGACATAGAATTCCACATAGTGGTTTATTTGTTCTTTTTGTGGTTGAAAAAAAAGGTGTGAATGGACCCCTTAGTTTTAAAATGCATGGCTTTGGAAATTGTGATCACAACTTATGTACTCAGGATAGCATTAAATATATTTTTTAAATGATGGGGAGCAGTAGAACATTTTTTTACTGTTCTGCTCTCAGAAATATCAAATTACGTATTTTCTTAACAAAGCCACACTAATAAATAAAGGTAGAATTGTTGGGTTGGAAAGTTTACCTCTGTTCTCACCTAGTGGTGTTGCAGTATACATGACAGAGAATCCAGCATCCAAGTGAATTGTTGATTTTCAAGTGAATTGAACAAAGACGTCAGGCGTAAGCCTGCAGTCATGCCATAACATTGTCAGGCTGTTACATTTTGTTTTCCTTACTATTCTTGGGTTTCTATAGGTAGCCCTAATCTGTTGTTGTTTTGTTTTTATTTTTGTTTTTTAAAAAAAATCAGGTGTTGCGCTTCAGTTATTCCCATCAAGATACTCTCATATCTTTTGGCATTTGCCAAATCTATGTTTAGGAGACTTTGTGCCACCATCATTTTTGAGAACTGTTAATTTACAAACAGAGCTTGTGGGATTATATGTAAATTACATCAAAATATAAGCCTGGATGACTATTACAGAACATTAAGATCTATCTCTTCGTTTTGAAAAAAAATTGCATCCTTAGTAATGCTGGAATTCCTTGAATCTCTGTTTTCCTTTGTTTGGTGCTGTCTTCTCAATTGTGAATGAATCGTACTGAATTTCTGAAAAAGTATCCACTGCATTTAAGGTA